TAACAACTTCTGTCGTTGGGTAGTTGATTTCCCCACGAAAATTACAGAGCGTGAGGTTTTCTCGAAGGAAGTAATTTGCCAATGTGGATTTGCTAGTCCGATAAAATCACAGTTTTGTGCAGTTCGTGGAAGCTAAGTGCTTGTTGCAACAGTAAACTACGTTGCAATTCAAACTACCAAATTTGAAACTTCCTTTAACATGTGTCGTTTACTATAGAGTTTAATGCATTAAAAATATTAGTAAATTAAATCACTAAAAAATAAATACTATCGTTTGTTATTTTAATTTCCTCCAATGTAATATTTGTGATCTGAAATACTTTAACTCTCCAGAGTAAAAATTCTCGAGAGAAGCTAAAGATGTTTAAGTAGCAGCTCGATATAACTCCGGAGTAATTTAACTATCGTCGAAAATCGTTTAAAAATGTTCCTCCCGGAAGTTATTTTACATCCCAGCAGCACGCGAAAATTTAAATAACGTCGGTGAAATTCTTGAGCAAGTCGCGGAGAAACTCTCTCATCGACAGTCGCGGGAAGACTTCTTTAAACTTTCCATTTTTATTCTTCCACGGCGGACAGCATCGCGAAAAGTTGGCGTACGAATTCGCGAGAAGGATAATCCGAGACGGGGCGTAAAAAAAAAGGAAAAAAACGAAATCTAATTGAAAGCAGTCTTTTGTGTACTTTTTTATCATTGGGAGAACGACTTTGGAATCCTTGGACCGGAACTCGATGAGGCAAAACTTTTTTCACCCTGTAGCCAGCCTCTCATTGCATCAGACTCTCCTCGTGGACAATAAATGGGATTTAAGTAGATTAAGAACAAGCGTTATAATTAAGCAATTGTCTTCAATCTAATCTGGACTGTTGAGTTCAGAGCCACCAGTTCCGGGATGAAACGCATTAATATTGTTCGTATCAGAATCGTATTTCTCATTGTACAAAATTTTATGAATTATATATTATATATTTTAATATAGTTCTGATTGTGATATTTGATATTCTTTAGAAACGTGTAATTTTAAAAAGACAAATTATGGTCATAATTTTCGACTCCTAAATTTCTTAAATCTTGATATTTTTTAAAATAGAAATTATTTTTATTACTATTTTTTTCTGTATATCTGGGCAATGACAGTAGTTAATATTGTATTTTATGAATTATATATTATATATTTTGACATAGTTTCGATTATGGTATTTGATACTCCTTAGAAACGTGTAATTTTAAAAAGACAAATTATGTTCATACTTTTCGACTCCAAATTTCTTAAATCTTGATATTTTTTAAAATAGAAATTATTTTTATTACTATTTTTTTCTGTATATCTGGGCAATGACAGTACTTAATATTGTATTTTATGAATTATATATTATATATTTTGACATAGTTTTGATTATAGTATTTGATACTCAGAAACGTGTGATTTTAAAAAAACAAATTATATCGATACTTTTCGATTCTTTTGAAATTTCCTAAATGTTTGATATGTTTATAAAAATTATTTTTATTATTTTTTTTCTGTATATCTGGGCAATGTCAGTACTATGGGGTTGAAACGTACAGAGACACAGAGCCTCGTTAGAAATTTTATTAAGTTTTGCAGGGATTTCTGAGTCGTTCTCAGGGATATCAAATTTCCGTACGATTGAGATTTTACCTATTCCCGGGCCGAGATTAGTATAGCGAGGTTAAATAGAAATTGTTGGGACAAAACGATGGAGTCTAGATTCGACTCGACTACATTCCGCCGCGCCGAGATAAGAAACGAATTTCTCTAATTCTCGCGCTGATTTCCAATTTGGATGGAAATTCGGTAGATACGATCTGCAAAAGTGGAACCCTCGCGTGTCGTTGAAAATTGTGTCGGTATTCGTGACCAAGAAATTCTCCAACGAGCCCTCCGTTTTAACGACTTCCTTCCTTTATACTTTCTGATTGTTCCCTTTACAAAGGCTTATTCGCAATTCTGTATTAAATGTAACATATTTATATCATAAAATTGGGCTGTTCACTCAAATTATAAACTTTCCATCAAGTATTTTAACTTGTCGATCTTTTGCCTTAAAAATTAAAATTTGCTGTTAGTATCATGATATTATTAATATATGTATAATCTATCTGCATGTTTCTTGAAGGTTTTACGTAAATCTTGTAATATAAATTCTTATGCACCAACCTAATAATTATCGATATCTCAATATGCTTAAAAATAATCCAAAAAATAAATTAATGATCACTAAAGAATGCGTTAAAAAGCGTAACGTTATTAACAATTCAGCCTTCGCTATTTTTAAGCTGAATACCATATAAAAATCATGCAATTTGAAAAAGAGCTAGATATGTAATTGATTTCTGAACAATTTTAGAATTTTTAGAGTAAATAAACCTTGACTCTCTATTTCACATATTCTCAATTTCTTTTCACTTTTGCAGTGCAATCAGGTCTACAACACATAATATTTATCAATTTTCAAGTACCTCCTTCGATAACATTTCAAGCCAGCGAACATTAACGAGGAATAATCTCTATACATATATCTATATATATTCCCTGAAGTTTTCAAAAATAATCCAAAAATGATATATTTGTATTTCAATTTGAAAAAGAGCTAGAAATTGATTTCTGAACGATTTTTGAATTTTTAGAATGAACAAACATTCAACATTTCTCTCTATTTTACTCATTCTTAATTTTGCAATACAATCAACTCTACCACAGATAATATTTATCAATTTTTAAGTACCTCCTTCGATAACATTCCTATCCAGCATCCAAATTAACAAGGGATCTCATCTTTTAGCACGAGCACATATTCTTCACGTTCAGCTATCCGTCTCGTTTTCAATACGAAAGTCGCGACGATCAATCGTTTCCAAGTCCGATTCATCGCGAGGCTGCATCGATGGGGAATAAATAATTTTACCGCGTCGGTGTATCGGTCTCGACGTCGACTGTACAAACGGCGCATATATCATGGGAGATTACACCACACCGGCGGTGTATTTTCCGTTTTTCCGCTGTTTGCCCGCGGTTGTTTTTGTCGCAATGTTTCATAGAACGAAGCAAACGGAGGGAAAGAGCTCGGGCCACGTCAGACGCAGACCAACAACCGGCCTGTCGTAGATCATTCTTCAACGGGGGGGTGCACGATCTCGCCCACAATTTCGAACGGGCTACGCCACCTCCGCGCAGAAACAGATTAAAACGGAATAAACGGCATTATCCAGGATATTATGCCGCCTAGGTAAATTTATGCGACTTCCTAAGACCCTTCGCGTTTTTCGCGCGAAACTTTGCACTTCCGGTCCCTGGATCCTCGAGCAGAAATTAATAAATTACGCGATTATGTATCAGAAGCTCTGCGTTCTATTTTTAGTTTTATTTAATCCCCGCCTAGTAGGTTTATAATTTTTACTGTACAATAACCTAGCGAACAATTTAAAAAAAAATTTTTTTAATCAACAATTTTCCAAATGTGATTATTTGAACAAGTATCAAAGTTTGCTAGCATGGTTGTTGAGGGACCTAACTCGATTAAATATCAGAAACATTGCAATTTAGTTTTATTTTTATTTAATCCCCAACTAGTAGGTTTATAATTTTTACTGAACAATAACCTAGTGAACAATTTTGTTTAATTAAATAGAATACCAAATGTGATTATTTGAACGAGTATCAAAGTTTGCTAGGATGATTGTTGAGGGACCTAACTCGATTAAGTATCAGAAGCTCTGCGATCTATTTTTATTTTTATTTAATCCCCGCCTAGTAGGTTTATAATTTTGTACAATAACCTAGGCAACAATTTTTTTTAATTAAATAGAACACCAAATGTGATTATTTGAACACGTATCAAAGTTTGCTAGGGGCAAAGACTCTGGCTCTATTTTTAACCGGAATATCGTGTTTCAATTACTTAAAAAATTTATTTTTTAGCACTCGAGAGCTCTCTTCACTTAACATTCTGCGAAGGGGGTATAAGTTAGTGGCATATAGAAACAGTTTGGTCTTAAACGTCGAGCATTTAATGGCCAGCAACCGACGATATTGATTTTAATGCAACAACCGATATTCCTGATAATTAAAGTGGATTGTCTGGCGCCGCGTTCCAATTTCAGTTAGGTTCTCGCGTATCAGGAGATTGCTGGTCTTTCGTTCGGATAATCCTGGACAGAGCGAGATAATTCAGCGGATTCCGCGAGACCGGGCCAGATAACCCAGACGAAAGCGATTACAGGAGCTGGTAGGCGCATCCGCGGACCGAAATGACATAACACGGAGTAAATCACGGGAAAGGAGAGAAGCGTGATTACGGTTAGGCGAAACGCAGACCCGTTTGCTTCGGGTTTACGCGGGGATCCTGTTATCTGATACGAACTCGCGAGGCGTCGTGTCAAATACAACTCCGCGGAATAGTTTCTATTTTTCTTCCGTCTTTGATGTGCCACGGGCCCACCCTTTGTGTCTCGACAATTCCAATCGCAACGGCTGTAATTAATTTCCTATCCTCGACGTACACTCGATCCAGTCGTTTGTTGCCGGGCGCGTTAATTGCATCTTCTCCCCGCGTTTCATCGTCGAAATGGAATTTATGAGAAATTATCGAAGAAAATGTTGTCTGGCGAATCGTTATTGAACATTCGATGCTCTATCAAGGAGTGTATATATAGAAATGGATGGTCGATCGAGTGCTTGTGAGAAAGAGAGATTGAGCGTAGCCCTCTGCTGGCGAGTGTGGGAATAATACACGATGTATTATAAGAGTTAATTTATAAATTGTCTCGTAAATTTCCACGATATTTCGTTTACGTTGAAATCTGATTTTGACAATTCGTTAAAAACAAGTGGAGTAAAGTACGATTCGAATATAGTTGCAAGAGGATACAATGAGTAATGGACTGACGCGTGGAATTTACTGTACACAGAAAACTTTTTAATTTAATTATCCTGAGAATGAAAAGGGAATTTGGAAATCAGTGTAAAGGGTTAACTGACCTTGTTGATTTGTCGTTGCAACTTTGTGATCGTCGCACGATCGCGTTGAGCAGCGACTCGTTCTGCTTGCAACGCCTGTTCGAGTTCCTGCACTCGTTCCTCCAAACTCTCCTGAAACAGAAACGAATTTAATGTTAAAAAATTTGATCCGTTTAAAATTGTATTCTAAAAGCCAGAGAGAAAGTAACGCTGCTTTTGAGAGAGTTCACGTACTGTGAATCGTGTTTGAAAAATTTAAAATCACGGAGCTGCACAGAGCTCAACAAACTTTTTTTGATATGCGACTTTACTAAATTGAAACAAAAAAGGAAAGCGTGCAAAAAATTAGTTCATGTAGGTTAAAATGTCGAGGTAATGGAAGAGAGAAAATTTTTATTTTAAAGCGAATTTGATTGCTTAATCGTTTGTTAATTTTTTATTGTATGTAATAGCAATATTTGAATATTTATCAAATTTTGTCGAATAATTTCGAACGATACGATTCATTTAAAATTGCATTTTTATTGTAGTAAAGGATTAAGATTTAACGCAGAGGTTACACAGTGAATATGAAAATTAAGAATTAACAGAGTGTAAGGTTTGTTGGAATTGCTGGTACTAAATCGACGTAAGTTAAATCCGAGCACCTTATGACCACATCAGTAATTGCTTCTCCACTTCGAAGCAATGTTCTCTGCGGCAAGATTAGTGGATTTTGGCTAGAAACTACTGCCAGAGCTTCTGCAGTGTTACAGACACCATGAAACCGATTTATCAAAATGACTAACTAAGACATTGAACGACGCTGTTGGGTAAAGAAAAATGGACATGACTGATCCTTAAGGTTGATGAGGTTTTCTTATCTCATATGAAGAGCTTATATCAGATCAGTCTATTAAATGACAACGAAAAACTAATAACGATTTATAAAATACTTTGTATAAGCGATGTGTTCTTTATTGTTAGACCCAATTATTTACTATTGCAATCACAATTTTTTAAATTTAATCATTCTAGGTTTGTAGGGAAATATTCAGAGATACTGCATTCTATTTAAAAAAAAAATAATAACCTTCATATGTATTCCATGCAGTCCTCAAAACCATTTAATTTTTATCCCAAACATTATCTGATACCATCAACAGTTGTGACAAACGTTTTAAAGTTGTATGTTACCAAATTTTAATAAAAGTTAACATATCTTTCAACCACACTACATTTGTGATAAAAAAAAGATAATAAATTACTGAAAAGGATTAGTAATCGAAGAAATAAAACAACTATAAAGGCCAATCGAGGTTTGATACTGTTTGAAGTCGTATGTTTCCAAATTTTAGTCAAAATTACACTATCCTTCAACCATAATGCACCTGTGATAAAAAACTAATAATAAATAAATACAAATAAAACAAATATAAATGTCAATCGAGGTTTGATGCTGTTTGAAGTCGTATATTTTGAATTTTAAAGAGACAATCTATCGTTTTATGTCCTTCGACACAAATTTGAAGCTTCCAAGTGAAAATAACAGCATCAGCCTCTGCAAAAGTATCACTACGGTCCACCCAGGGGCGTTCCAGCGTGAAAAAGCACGATTTCGTTCGGCGTAATCTCGACGTAAGCCAGAGTTCCTCAAGTTGAACGCGGTAATCTCGGCCACCGGTCGGTTTTGGTGGTTCGATTCCGAATCGCGCATAGATCGAAAGCTTACCGTCGACCGTTTCTCAATTAACTTTCGCGCGCCCGCAAACGCGAACGCAAACGCAACTCAAAACTTTCCCGGTAACTTTCAGCGGGATATTCCCAGTAATTCCTGTTGCTCGAGTTTTAAGCTGCCTTAACAGGGGATTAAAGTTCCTCGAGAGATCACGCCGCTGCACGTGTACTTAGAGATTACGAGAACGCGGATGGGCGATTCGGTTTTCGCTTTTTCCCCAGGAAGAACTGCGATGGCGCGTTTGTTACGCCTTCCAGCAACAGTGGAACGTTTACAGGTGCAACGACCAACGGTCAGTTTATCCTTTTGATACCCAAAATCGTTGTTGATGACGAAAAGTTCGAACAACACCGTGTTTCACGACCTACATTGGCTCGACGCCATGTTTCACCTGAAGGTTTTATTTCTTTGCAGGTAATTTCTGAATTTTCTGGATGTAACTCCTGAATTTCGAAAGATATTGGCAAATGGTTTAAATGAAAGCTGTATTATTTTTGTATGTTAATAAGAAAAAATATGTCGAAAGTATAAATTTTTACAGAGGAAAATGTATTAAAAATGATATAAATTTGGTTATGCAAGATCCACAGATTGTCCTACACGATAGCCTGTCGAAATTTTGTTCTACGACGATTTTTGCCGCCGGAGCGATCGTTCGCATCAGTTTTTCGTTAATAACTTGAAAACGAGCACGTTAACGCTTATTTTTGCTTATATGATACTTGTACAGTTTAACATTCTCTACCTGGTAGACTAGTCGTTTTTTTTTATCTCGAATTTTGAGACTTTTTTTTCTCGAAAACGAGCACATAGAGTGTACAAGCCTTTGTATCTTGATTGAATAACAAAATATATTTCTGTGTCACAGTGGAAGAACCATAGGCTACCTTGTCCAAAAAATATTCGTAAATATTTTTATCATTGGTAATGGTACTTGATAAGCAATGGTGCTTTCAACATTGAAAATGGTAATCTCTAGAGTAACTCCTATTCCAGTCCAATTCGGGTCTTCGCCAAGGTATTTCTGATTATCAAAAGCGCTCATTGAGGCCATTCGAGCGGAATGGTAATGAGTGCCGGTCTCTGAGGGCTGTTGGTCGCGATTTGACCATAAGTATCGGTGCAATCCATTAGATTCGAGGCGACGCCGACGGTTTCAGGGGTCCTCGAGGCGCCCGGCGACGCTTCCACATCGCGCGGGGGATGATTCGTATGCGGGGGCACGTAGCTGCAATTCACCCTTTCTAACCCCTCGGCGAGTCCACGTTTTAGTACTCCACGCCGATCCACGAGTACCCCTGGCCATTGTTTGTCGCGAACGAAGAAAATTATACCGGGTGTGCCGCCTCTTATCATCCGCGCCAACTGACCACGCTCCATTCGAATAAATTTCAACCAAAAATCCCACGAATTCGACGTTCAAAAACCTTTTTACTCGCCAATTACGTAGCTAATCATTTTTCACCCAAAAGTCTTGAGAAATTCAATAGACTTTGACTTTCAGTGGATTTAATTAAAATAATAATAATACATATTGCACACGACAGTCTTAGAAAATTTGTCTTACGAATATTATTGAAATATTACTGACATTGAGGATAGAATAAAACTAACTGGTCGATTATAGTATTGTGTAAATATTGAAAGAATTTTTATTTTTTTCTGGGATAAATTTGTAAGACACCCGGTATAAAGATGCAAGGGTCGACTGGCGTGTGCTTGTAAATCTGTATTAAAGGGTTTCCAGAATGACCATGGGCTGACATTATCGGGAAAGTATTGGTTTTCCTTGGATTAATGGCGCGGTCCGCGTCGTGAATAATTATGAGCCAGTCAGGCCAGAACAAACAAGAAAAGATTTAAGGCTCGACCTCCCTCGTCGTTATTTCTGCTGGACTTTTAAGCCTGAGCACATTCCTTCATCGATCTTGTAACTTTTTCTTCTCTGATTTCGAATTAACTCGTAAACAATTTAAAAATCTTGAGATTCATTGGACGACATTTTCAGAGTTATGAAATTTCATACAAATATTCTCAGAATTTTGAAATTCCATAGAGACGATTTCAGTGAACATAGAATTCAATACCAGACGTTTCGCGATCGTGAACATTTGTTCGCCGATACTGTGCTCATCCGATCCAATGCTCGGATCTAATTACGTCCAGTAACTCTAATACCAGTAAAGAAAGGAAACCGACAAAAAATCTCCCAGCAAACGTTATTATTAAAACCGTAAATCCACTTTGATACAAAGCGATTCGTCTCGACTCTCGTCTCTCTGTTTCCCCGTTTTCTCGTGATCCGTTCGTTCCGGGACGTTTCAAGGATTCTTTCTCGTATTTCGACGAGAAAATTAAATCCGACGGTTCTTCCGCCATCTCGACGCGTTTTTCACCGATTAATTAAATCCCATCGAATCCCGTCGACGAGCAGGCGTCTCGTCTCGCGGGTCGCGCGGTCGACGGAGCGAGGTCTGCGCAATTATAACAAGCTGCCCCCTGAATAACTAGCCCTTGTCTTGCGCACCCCTCAGGATGGACGAAAGGGAGCGTCACCATGTACGAGGATCCATTCGAAGACCCATAGAATTAGTACGGGGACTTCCGGGACGTCATTTAAAGTACAGAACCGCCGCGATGAGCCCACTCTATATGCAGAGATTCCGTTAAATTGCAAACGCCCATTTTCCAGTGAAGGGAGGTGAACGAGAACAAGGGTAAGGTCCCGTCCGCGTCGCCCTCGAGTAATCAGACGGTTAACTCGATCCAGGGAACGTTTACGGGACGACAGCTCGAACCGATTTTCTTATGCCCCGGAGAAAACCTCGCGTCTACGATCCTCCCTCTCTCTCTCTTTCTCTCCCTGTTCCTATCGCGAGTCTTGTCCGACTGTCCTCGGGGAATGTTAATTTCGGTGGAACGAATTTATTCGATTCAATCGAGAAGAGATTAAATCTCTAAAGATGCACTAACTGGAGATCGAAGACTGATTGGAGACCGAGGCGATCGCCATAAAGTATTTTCGTTTGGAAAATCAGGTGAATCGTTGCAGAATGTAATACTTGTTTAAATAGAATTCAAATTAATTTTTGTATCTTTGTTTAGTTACATATGCATTACTGCTTCGTTAAAAATCAAATATTTTTAACTATAACATTGATTTATTAACAGTAGAATTACCAAAGTAGACGAAGTGACCGATTTCTAATAAAACTTTTAAAAATGTAATTTTCTATGAGAAAATGAATCATTTCAATTGCATTATACATTTCTTCACGTATCTATCGTTTTAATAAGACGAAAATCAAGGATACTAATTTGTTTATTGAGGCTTCGTTAAAAAGTTATAAAAACGTTTCTACACAGTATATTTTTGGTAAAGAATTTTTTTTCTCGAAAGTACGTACAATTTTGG